TTGAGTATCAGAGTGTTCCATCTCATTTCCCTTTGGGGTTGCTGTAGGTGATCTGGAAGTCTGGTTTTGAGACTTATTTATGTGTTTTCTCATTTCGAAGTGGGGGGGGGGGCTGTTGGCACCTGTATGGATTACCTCCTCTGAGCTGGGAGAGCTGGGAAAGGGGCCGGGAGTAGCGGTAGGGATGGTGGCCCAGAAGCCTCTTCCTCTGGACCAGGAGCAGTGGGATGGAGGCTCAGAAGCCCCTACCTCTGGGCCAGGAGTGGTGGGACTCAGTACGATGGTCTGGTGGTCTGGTGTCCTCTGTGTCTTTGTAGTGTGGAACCAGGTGGCTATACAGAGGAGCAGGGGTGTTGGGGGGTGTCCAGTGGATTGTTGCCGGGACGTGGGCTGATTTGGCATGTTTCATGGGACTCGCGACCTCGGTAGGGCGTCTCATCAGGATTTTGATTGAACTTAGCTTTATTTTCTTTAAATCTTGTAAGTCAGGGAAATTTGAAATTATAGAGAAATATCTATAGCCTGAATTCAGTGAAGTTTGAAATTATTATATAAAATTTTGGGTGCAGTATTCTGTAATGGTCCATGTTTATTAAATTTATTCCCATGTTTATTAAAATACATATACTAAATGCTATTTGAGATTTGACTTGTAAACTATAATTCAGTACAATAAGTTTACTGAAATATTCAAGACCTGATTGAAAATTCTTTCTAACCTGTCCTCCAAAATTATTCTTTAAAAAATCAGTTGGCTTTATTTTGGAACTCTCAAGGAGCCAGTGACAAAGAGATTTTAATGAAGAATTAATGAAAACTTGGTTAAAAACTTTTTACAGCTATTCAAGTCTGTACAGAGCTACTTTTACCTGTGGTTAGAAAAAATGACAAAAAAGTTAAAGCAGCTCTTTTGTGGTATTACTTTATTATAATAAGGTAAAATATAGAAATATAAGTTTGCAGAAGAATAAAATTTACCTTGGCCATATAACAACAAACACTCTTAAGGAATGATAATGAAACAAAAATATGGATTTGATAATATTTATTTTCTTTGGAAAATATTTTTTTCTGATATTTCTTCTGGGAAATTTAAATATTCAAGAATAATAGCTGTTTCATCCCCCTGCCACCCCTCTGCAGGAAGGTGTGGTTATTGACCCTTTCCAATTAAATGAGGCGATGAAGACCAATTCAGATTTTACTGATGTATTCAAAAGTATTGGTTCTGGAAACTGTGCTATGGTCCCTGCGCTCAGACTACAAGCAATAAATCTGCCTTCAGAGGAGGAAGGAGCTAAAATTTCAGCTTTGCAAATCCATTTGGTTAAGTTACAGCAAACCTTACAGAAAGAAAGAGAGTAAGTGTTAATTATTGTCTCTTTTAAGCAAGTCTGAGATTCAAATCTTTTGAAGTAGAAAAAGTCACTTGGAAATGTATTTAACCCATGTGTAGTCATTATGTTGTGAAGTTTTAAAAATGATTTTGAAATATATTCATATTTTGAATTTTGAAAGGCAATTTATAGCTTGTTAATTTTTAAATCATTCTTTTAAAATGACTTTTATCATAGCTATGTTCTCATCATCTCTGGTAGAGTCATATTAATTGCATTTGAATTCTTATTGTATATGGTTAAAATTTTCAGCATATAATCTATTTTACAGCATTATTGGATTTTAGTAACTCAATAAAAATGAATAAATGTGTTTCATATTAATAGGAAAATCAGTTTTGTGAGGTATTGATCACAGAAAAGAATTTCTTAATTATTGTCCATTGTGGTATGAAAAAAAAATTATGGATTTGTTATTGGATGACCTGGATGCTCATTTAGTGTTGATATATTCTAGTTATATGAGAATAAGCTGTTGTCCCTTTTGTAATATTTGAGGTATGATGTGGTATGTTCCATTTATCTATTGTAACAAACTTACTCATGATTTCTTGAATCTCAACTGCTGTGTATTTCATTCATGAGTCTTGAGTCTGGCTTGGAATGGACAGCTCATCTCACATGTGACATCAGCTAGGATGGCTCAAAGGCTGGGGCTGACTGAAAGGCTGGGAGCTGTATTGCTGAAGCCTTGTGCATTCACCCATTTTGTGGTTGGCCTTGGTTCCTACCTGGACCTTCTATTGGAACCCTTGCAACATAGCCTGTCCTTGTGGCTGCTTGATTCCTCATAGCACAGTGATTAGATTGCAGGTGAATATGCTAAGAACATTCAGAGACATATACATCATTTCAATGATCTTGCCTCAAAATTGAGCATCCTTTCTGACATATTTATTAGTGAAGGCCCTTAAGGCAAAGGCCAACTCAGTTTCAAGGAAGAGTTCACTCTCAAATAAAGAGTGTCAAAATTGTTTTATGCTAAGAGAATGTAAGACGCAGTCATTGTGGGAGACATCTTTGCAAAGTACTCTTACACAGAATTCTTATCATAGAATTCATCTAAGGATCACACACAAATGTCTTGAAAAGAGACTGTGATGTGAATTACTTGATATGTTTTTATTTTGGCTCCTTTATGATCAGTTAAAAATATTAGCATACTAGGGAAAATTTAATGCACTTTGAATGTGGTTTTCAAATTTGAAAGTAATTATTTGTCCATCTCCTTATTTATAAGACTGTTAATAAGAACTAGATAAACAAAAGTTTATCTATATATTTTTTTCACCAATACATTATATAAGTATGTACTATATAGTGGTTTAAATTTCCCTGGTTTAATTGGACTGAAATAGTGATAAGTATGAAGAAAAGCCTTTCACAAATATTGTAAGCTGTTCACCTGACATTCTTTTTCTGTCAGCCAGCTTATTAATTCCTTTGATGTTTTCTAGTACTACTAATTCTATTTTTCAAATTTCTTGTTTATTAATAGACTGTGATAACACAAGCATCTGGGTATAGATTAAATACTATTCTATCATCACGAACAAATTCCTAACGAAGGCAATCAACAATAGAAAAAAGAATGAAATTTATGCTTATGCACATATTGACAATTTCATCTAGACCTAAAAGTCTCAGTCCAATTGGATCCTTTACATTTATATTTTTTGAAAGATTTAGCTTTGGTAGTTTTAAACTTTTCCCAAACTCATTCTCAGTTTAATAGAAACAATATGTTGCATTTAGCTCGTTGTACTTTTATATTTTAATGTACCAGTTTTAAGAATAATCATATGCTATCTTTGTGCTTTCAACCTATACATATATGCAAAATATATTTTTAACTTCTTATAATAAATTAACAATATTCAGATAAATAAATTCTCAACAAAATTTTAGTACACAAACCATAGCCATAGCCAGATTTTGGGGAGCAGGAAGGAATCATGTGTTTTGTTTTTGCCTTCCTACTGTCCTCTTTGAGAAAGGATCCTTCAGATGTCATGAATCATAGCTCATGTGTTCATAAATTCATACATGCATGTCGTCAATGAGGCACTTAGTCTTTTCAATATCACAAAGGAATAGTCCCTTAAGGATATAGTATTACTGTATTTTAAAACTGTCTAATAGTTCAAAAATGGAATTTTATGAAGATGTGCATGTAGTTTCTCCTGTGTTCCCATCTGGTGGGAAAATTTTTTTGACTATGCTCAAGAACCAGCTGAGGAAACTCAGGAAATTATTTCCACCATTGTCCTGAGTAAACTTCCTCATCAACTGGATTAAAATTACTCTATTATTTACATGTAGGATCTTGTTCAGTTTTATGAATATTACTTAGTATTTTGAGGCTCCTCATGCTCTGAACATTTATATATTTCTGATGACTTAAAGACATCCTGAGTACAGTAACTGAGTATGGTAGCTCATACCTGTATTTCCAGCACTGTGGGTAGCTGAGGCAGTAGGGTCACAAGTTGAAGCCTAGCCTGGGCAATTTAGAGACATAAAGAAATTGTGTCTCAAAAATAAATAAATAAATAAATAAATAAATAAATAAATAAATAAATAAATAAATTGGCGATATAGCTTAGAGCATAGGCACTGGATTCAATTCATAGTAGTGCAAGAAAAATAAAAGTAAAAATAAATGGATTTCTAAGTACCAAATTGAGAGTGAAAGCAGGAAAACTCTAAATTTTACAGACTTATAAAATTGGATATCTGCATGCAGTCATATTGTTAATAACCATTTTGACTTAACAAAGCATTCTGACATTAATAAATTCCCTCAGAAAATACTGATTGTTTTTCCATATAATTTTCCACAGTTCAAAATGGTTAGTATTTATTCCCAGATAGTTATTCTCAGGACCTTTCACCCCTGAGAATTAATTTCAATAGTTTTTCTGTCTAGATATCCAAATTTTACTTCCAATTACTATGCTATCATACAATATAATAAAATATCAAAAGATTGGGAAGAAATTTAAATACATCTTTCCTTAAGAATAATTTTAGTAAATAGCTTACCTTTTAAGAGTCTGCAAATTTTGTATGCCCTAGCTACATTATTTTTAAAAGATCAAAACTATATTTTAGTATAGTGTATCTATAATTTTGTTCTTTTAAAGAATACATGCATGAAGTATATGATATATTTTAGAGTAAATGTGAGCATTTCTTTTTTGTCTTGTAGTTCAAATAGCATTACATCACATCAAGTAGCACTAAATGATAACAGTATGCATTCAATTATACATGTAACTTTAGAATTAATCGATTTTGAAAATCTCTCTGAAACAATTAATTTGGATAAAATTGAAGGACTTATAGAGTGCCCTCTGCTGCATAAATTTAGATGTGCAATGTCTTTAATGCCTGCTTTCACAAAGCCCCAAACCTTTCTTTATGGAGCCATACTAAAAATATTCAAACACATTTTCATAAATTTCCATGAGTTAACCTACTTTCTCTTAACCTTTTCTTCCTTATGACTAAATTGTAACTCTTTACACAGTAAAAAATCTAACTTAAAAAAACTAATCTGTCAATTGAGATATGTATTTAGAATATTAATTTATTTGAAATGTTACAAATCAGTCTTATGAAGCAAAACAAGTTATTGTTCATTCTAGTTTCCTTTAGTAAATTATATTATTTTTATTTCCTGAATTGTTTTTGGATATTTTCTAGGTTTAGACTTAATCTAGAAGTAACTTTATCTTTAGAGTTTATTCCTATAAAATTAAAATTTGAAAAATTTAATATGTGTTTGGAAAAAGTCTTGAAATAGATACAGATCCATGAAAGAATAGTACCCTAATATTTTTGACGATATTTTTAAGGATCATCATTTATTTTGCAGTAATCATAGATTGTTTTATATCTATATGAACTACTTTGTTCTGAAAAGTTTGAGTTAATTTGAATCTTTAAAGTATCATTTGATATACTAAAGTATACTGGCAAAAAGAAACTTGTGCTTTCTGAATTTAATTATCTAGAACTTTCAAGCTATCAAGTATTATTTTTCTCTATAACTATTTATAAATAAAATAATACTCAGTTAATTTTAGGGGAAATGTATACAAACATAGTTAATTAAAATCTTTTAAAACATTTATCAATTTATTGTTTTGTTTGCTTTTTAAATTATGCAATTACTGACAAATATTCCAAATTATTAAACATGTAAATCTAATAAATAAAAATTAGATTTAGCATGGTGCTTACTTTGAATGTTTCCATAAAGTTACAATCTTAGTACTTTAATTTTTTTAACTTTTTACCTTAAATTCACAAATCCCAATCAATACCAATTTTCTTTTGAATATTCTAATGTGCATTATCATCCAGAACTTTACAAGTACTCATGTCATATGTGCAGTATATTTCAGTGTGCTATGGTTTGTATACAAACTTTCTAATTTAACAAAAATATTACTATTTACTAATTTGCTAATTATTTTTGTACTTTTTTCATCTCAACACTCCAAACACAGCCATGAAAGACAAAAATTACACACAATAAACAGCTTAAATGTCAGCTGGCAAGATTTGCTTATCTGTCAAATATTTAGGCTGACTGTTAATCTGGAACTACAGATATTCATAGGCATTGTTCATAATACTTAGACTTCTTTGTTGAATCTTTTTGTTTGTTAATTTTGTTTAATCTATTTGCTGTATTAATAAGGGATTTTTTTTTTTGCAACAGGAGTCTTTTTGCAGTACCTAAGTGCTGTTTCTTTTCTATCTTTTTTAATTTTATGGCTTGATTCATGCATATATAACTGTACAAGTCTTTAATAGATACTTCCTTCATTTGATTGAATTGAATGAATATATTTACAACTATTTTGAATTATTGTCATGTTATAGCTTCCAGAAAGTCATATTTCTTATAAATATGTACATGACATTCATTTTTTACATTACATTCATTTTCTAGCTCTGTGAATGTATTTCAAAAGCTTTCTAGTGTGATTTAACATCACCGAAATAGATCCATGTGTGTATTTATTAATCATAAATACAATAAAGCTGCAACTAACAACCATTTCAGTGTTACATAACAATCAGAATTTATTTAGCTAGATCCCAAACACACAATTATTTTATCAAATTCTGCTTCTTTTATGTAAACTAATATTTGTTGTCAAAGCTTGGAGTTGAGGGATTAGAAAATAACTCTGTTGTGAAACTAAAGGAAAAAGAATGGGTGTCTTTAAATAGCAATTTAATTTAACACACAGATGAAGACAGGCCAATTGGAAAGGTCAATATGTGCTAATGACAACCACAAATACAACAATTATTTTCCGTGACTCACTCTAATGAATACTGTGTGCAAAGAAAAAAAAGATCAATGGTTTTGATACTAAAGGGTAAGTTTTAAAACTTAGTTCTGTTCCAACTTCTACAAATGGAAATTTTAAATTATTTTAAATACTTTAAAGATTCCAGTGAAGTTGTTTTATTAAAACAAAATTTCAGATATCTAAAATATATTCTCATATTTCAGAGAACTTCTCATTCATAAACAGTCACAATATGAAGATGAATCAAACTATGTTAAAATTATACGTATATATGTATTTATTTATTTTATATATATATATATATATATATATATATACACCCTGTTATGTATGCAAATAAGTAGAGAGGAGTTGAGAGAAATGCATAAAATATACAGGAGAAAGCAAGCAGAAAGTTAATGCTTGCGGTCAAATTAAATCTGTTTACATACAGCTAATTAATAGACTCATTCATTCAATATTTGTAATTTTAATAAGTTGAAAAACATTTTCTCACCTAATGATTACAGATATCAAAACTTAAAAAAATAGAAAATTTGATGCATTCTTAAGATTATTTAAAATCATATCTACTTTGCTTTCTTTTTATTTTTGAATGATTTAGAATGCGTGCAGCTTTGGAAAAAGAAATAGAACAAATGGAGTCAGCTTTGTCTCTGTGGAAACGGAAGTATGAAGAACTGAAAGGATCAAAGGCATCAAATGGGAAAGAGGTATGGCAACAAATGATGCAAAGGAATAAATAAAAGCCAAGGTTCCCCCTCTTTGGCTCTGTAACCTAGTGGGCAAAAGCAGAAGGCTCAACAGAAGATAGAGAATGATAAAAAAATTGCTCTAAGAAAATTTTCTCTGAAAGAGAATATTGGAAATCAAACTTCAATAGTTTACATAGACTGAGACCATAAAATGCCATGTTCTACATGGTACATGTTTTGCAGCTTTATGTTAGTTCACTTCTTTTTTTAAAAAAAAATGCAATTGTATAAATGTAAGGTATAAAACATGATCTATATCTATATGGTTAATGATCAGCTACACACAACATTTAATGATCCACTCAATGAACATATGAAGGGACTGCTCAAGATATCTTATTATATCCTATCATCTTGCATAAACAATTTTTTATCTTCTTTTATGAAGAAATCTGATAATGGCAACTTATATCAAGTATATTTAGGTTCTTTTCATACTGTATTATAGTTCTAAATCACTTGCTTTGTACTTTTCTATTGAATTATTACAAAAATATTGTCATTGACTCTAATTTTAATGATTTTCTAATATCATTATAATAAAAAAGAATGAAAATTCTATCATTTGTGACAATACTGGTGGCACTTGAGATCATTATGTTAAATGAATTAAACTAGGCACAGAAAGTCAAGTATTGCAAATCTCACTCATAAGTGAAGTTGATCTCATAGAAGTTGAGAATAAAATGTTGATAACTAGAGGCTAGGAAAGGGAGGGGAAGGGAAAAATCATGAAAGTTGATCAATAGATATTAACATTATGAGGACTAAGAAGAGGATCCAGTTTTTAACTTAACAATAGGATAATTGCAGTAATGGCAAAGTAATATATATTTCAGAAAAGAAGAAGAAAGTATTTTGAATATTTTAGTCACAAAGAAATAAATGAGGACATGGATACATTTAACATGATTTCAACTCTAAACAATGCATACATATATTAGAAAATCACATGGTACCCCATAAATATTTACATGTTTGATGTATTAATTAAAACAAATTTAATAAAAATAATTAAATATATTTTGTTTACTAAACATTGTTCCAGGTAGGTTTGACAGAAAGTATTATGAGCAAAACATAGGAAAGGAAAAATGAGCAAAATAATGACACATTAAATACTTTAAAATGGATTCATATTTAGCAGGTGTGTGTGTGCAATATACATATGTGTGTACATTCACACACATATATAGGAATATGTAGATTTATAGTATTTGTATATTCCCAGGTACCTAATTGAAAATGATATTCTTGGAAGTGAACATTTGTAGTTACTTAACATTTACTAGAAGAATAGTTCACAACACAAAAATCACATTGTTCTTAGAGTGTTATGTGTATACAGTAAAGGTTTTAAATGTGAATAGGAAGCTAATATTTAAGATAGAATTGGTCTTTAATTTTAAAAGAAACTCACATGCATGTACAATCTCTTGCCACTAGTGTGCAGTGCAGACTTGATAATATTACTTTTAGTTTACAGGTAATGTCCCATTTATGTAGCAAATGTTTGGAGGAAAACTCATGGTTTGGAGTTGACTTATAAAGCAATATATTGTATATATTTTAATTACATATTAAAATTATATAAAATTATATATTATATGTAAAATTATATAAATTATATGATATAATTGTATATCATATATAATTATATAATCATATAATTATATATCATATATGTCATATA